TTTTTATAGCCTGAAAGGGAAGTGCTGGTTTTGTATAAACATTTGAAGTAAAACTGGCAGTAACACAGTGAAAGTATACTGAGTAATGTGTGTAAATCTAAAATCTATAATGAACTAGGGAAAACCTGGGCACTAAATCTTTTCATTTAAAAGTCAGAGAAGGAAGATCTTCACAAAGACTCAAACTCTTTTACTGCTTACCTTTGACACCTACAAGCTACCCTTCCAGCACTGGTTTCAAATGTCGCCAGTGGTATGTGGGAATGGTGGCAAAGTGCATTAAGTGTTGACAATCACCTCCTTCTGAGGCATGAGGAAGGAAGATTTTGCTATACTAAGTTAGACAACAGGAAAATGTAAAACGTTAAGGAAAGAATATTTCCAGCTGCTATACTTCCATCTGTTTCCTAAGAGGCGTTGACAGACCAGCCTACAAATACAAGTTTTGATGTCCTCTTCAACTTGAATGTTGATTTTACAAATTACTCCTGGTTGAGATTCTGTATATATTTTTTGAAGGTCACAATTCTATATGCTTTATAGACTGTGGGGCTTTATCCTCATCAAACTGTTCCCATTATAGGACATCACTAGGACTTTGTAAGAGGGAAGGGACTCATGCAGAGAAGACACGATTTGCTGCTTTACAAGGTGAGCATCTAATTCTCAAAACCAATTTGTTCCAAGCACAGGCGCAGCAAACACCTAAGGATTTTCATGCAACTTACTGGGATTTCAGAAGCAGTAGGCTGAGAGGCAGTCTATTAAATTACACAACAAAAATTGTTTTAAACTTTGATGTATTCCACTTGAATATTCACTTTTTTATAAGTTATCTATGCATTAAAGAAATACACTTGTGTGTGTGTGTGTTGCTACATATATATATCATTCAAATAAATATATAAATATAGTTTGGGGACAGCACAGGATGAGAATAATCCACAATTTGAATGATACAAATGAACTCTAGCACAGAGGTCTTTACCCTAGGAATTGGAAACCTGATATCCAGTGAATATGTGTCAATTAAAATAACGATGCATATGGTTATCTAACCCCACACACACATTTTACTCAATGTGCTGTGAAATTAAAAGAGAACATATGATGTCAGGTAGCTATTTAAAACTCAATGGCAAGTCATTTTCTAAACTGCTAAATGTGTTGATTTAAGCATACAAAATGATGCAAATTGGGGCATGCCGCAATATATACCAGCACACTTGGGCTTCCTTGGTTTAAACGTGTTTGACTTAGATACAATGACATTTAAAGGGGAACTCTTGATCCCACGTGTTTTACAGAAATACTTATTTGCTGGCGAAGGGAGAGTGAAAGGCGCAGCAACCCCAACTCTTTTATCACCACCTAGGACCTTCTCCAGAGAAGCCACAATTCCCTGGAGTAATGTCCGGGTTCAAGACCTTTGCACTGACTGTGATGACTTTAACCTACTCGTACAGAGAGAGAAGTCCTAGTCTCCCTCAATCTAAAACACTTACAGTCATTTCAATACCAAAACACTTTTACACAATCAATTCTCTGTGCAAAGCCATTATCTTGGGTTTTTCATTTAATTCAAGTGGCATGCAGGCTCCATAGCTTAGAGGGTTATAATAATATTGAGAAAACACTTTTATATGAAGAAATAGGTCAAAAGTAAGAGTCGTGGTACATTTCTATAAACAGTGTCTATCTCTCACAACAGGGATCAGCAATTCCAGTAAACTTAGTCATACATCTACCATTCAAAACACTGATGATACAGATAGCGTACACAAGCCTATTCACACAGAAATACATTGTTCTAAAGTGAGCTTTGGGAAGGCACCATGTCCAGCCCCAAAGCTGACAAGAAAAAGCCCCTGAAACAGCTCAAGAAGCAGGCCAAGGAAATGGATGAGGAAGAAAAGACTTTCAAACAGAAACAAAAAAAGGAGCAGAAGAAACTCAAAGAGCTAAAATTGAAGGCCATACGGAAGTGCCCCTGGCCACAGGCAGAATCAAGAAATTTGGCAAAAAGTAAGCTGTTCTCTGTGACTGAGGCAAAGGTGACCCTTGATTCTGTTCCTGTTTAAAAATCTGGATTCCCTGCTGCAGTATCAGTTGCCATCTATAACTAGAATGAAGTATCATCTTGGAGCCTACTGTACACTTAAGAATAAATTTCCATTAAAAAAAACAAAAAAAAAAACATCGTAAAATGGTTTATTTTCTCTTTAGTTCTTCTCACGCAGTCATTCCAATCTTGGCTGTGAGGTCAGAGTAAACCCAGTCCAGATTCCCCCCCGAGTCTGCTCTTCAGTCTTTCTTATGCCTTGCATCTTCTACCACCTGAAATTAAACCAACTGACTTGAAAAAAAAGAATTTTAAACCCAAAACAGGGAAAAATAACCTAATGTCCATTTTCAATCCACATTAACTTCAATTCACTTAGTATTTACTGAGTATCATGGCACCAGGAGACATTCTAGATCCAAAAGACACGAATAAGAATAACTAAAAAATTACAACATATCTAATGAAGCTTGTAAAGGTGTGTCCAAGATATAAAAGAAGTCAGCGGATGGTGTAATTAACTGTCAGGGAGGAAACTGGGACTGAGAAAGGCTACTCAGAGGTAGTTACCACCTGAACTGGGTTTTGAAGGATGAAGAGAAGTTCACTGGACAGGAAAGGAGAGAACAGAGATATGAGGTATCATTGAATCCCAAGGAGAGTGGTTTTACAAGTACTAACGGAGAAAGGGAAACACAGAGAAGCAGACAGAAAAGCAAGGATCAAGGATCATAACGGTGATACTATGCTAAGTCATTTCATCTTCATCTTAGACCCAAAAACCCACGCCGTCAAGTCAGATCTGACTCACAGCGAACCCGCCTTGGGTTTCCGAGGCAGTATCACTACAGAAGTAGATTGCCCAATCTTCCTTCCGAGGAGCGGCTGGTAGGTTTGAACCATCAGCCTTCTGGTTAGCAGTCAAATGCCTTAGGCACTACACCACCAGAGCAACTTAGAAATAGCAAGGAAACACTGAAGAAGAAAAACAAAACAATGAAGAGCTTAAGCTGGTGAATGACATGATTAGATTCATGCTTCCTTTCCAAAAGACCCTAGTCCCAAACTGATCTCCACTCCCAAATAAGTCTCTGAAAACTGATACCATAAAATGATAAGCTATCATAAACTGATCAGCCAAGATAGTATGTGTGGAGAAATGCAATCATGTGAAACTTTATCATTCTCACATGCAATTTAATTACAACTTCATTGATTCCGGCCACTGAAACACTGAAAGAACACAAAATTAACTTGGGCAGCTCTACTAATTATTACTGTCATTACCTCTACAGTAGTTGTTGGGGAATTGCTGATTTTTTATAGCAGTCTGCACCCTTTTCCTGATTTCAAATGGACCTTTCTGGACCCAGTGCTATAAGGAGTGAACAGCATGCCCCTTTCCTTGGTCAGTCTGGTATATTTTTAGCTGGTGGACAGAACACTCAGGTAATAGCTGCCTGACTCAGCTCAACAGGACATATGATCACAGCCCAAACATAGTAACTAAAGGGAATGCAGGCCACAATGGCTGCACTGACATAAATACTTAACAGAGATCAACTGCAAAGAAAACTGCAGCCACTTGAATCTTTGGACAAATGAACGAAGGTGATTGAGGAGTTTGGGTAATTTTGGACGGCTGAGTAAAATGAACATAAGTGACAGATTTCAAAGAATCCCAAAAGGAACCTAAAAACACACAACCTAAATGGAGACATACAGTCCTGAGCTGTCATTAAATATCTTAACACACTTCTCTACGCTAGGACTGAAGTGCAAAGAGCCAAAATATTGGCAAAGTGAAGAAGGCGGCATTCATTTGGTGGAAAAACATGAACTGTCCTTTGTGGGCCTTTGTGGTTTCACTGGAGACTATTGATGACGGTGGTGTGCTGCGAGAACCAGTTCACTGAGAGTGCCCTGTAACCGGAAAGGGTAAACGCACCCCGGAGAGCTGAGAGCTGTCCCCCTTTCCTTCAGTAACACATAGTCCATTATGCAAACAAACATTGTACTTAACATCTATACTTATACCACTAAGGAGCCATTAGAGCAACTTCATCCTACAATGAGAGTCTGCTCTGAGCTGAAAGTACATCTCATTATTTGACATAAAGGCCCAGGATATTACCTTAACTGAGGTAGTTGGTAACTACTAAAGATTGAGGAATAAAAGTCTATATACCTTTGGACCCTTATAAAGCTTAAAGATACATCATTACCTAGAGTAAATCTTTCAGTGTTACCAAACAAGGGACACCTCACAAACCATCTGACATATACATGCACCATTTTAAATTGAATATAGCTGCTTGATAACCTAGTGTCCCTTAAATGTTAAAAGGAGAAAGAAGAGAACTCAATGATTTAATAGCCAACCCTGTGTGACTGTTCCCTTTGAAAATATTAACACCAAGTTTTTCACTTCCCTTCTCTATCTACCTCAGAAGGAGAACAGTTGGTATGCACTTACATTTACAAGAGACTCCTTGAACTTGATGTGAAGTCTGTAATTAGAAAGGGCAATGATGGCATCCTCAGCACGGCCCACATACTCTGTGCTCTCTCCATGAAGTTCAAGGAAAGGAACCTTCAATATGGAAGAAAAAATACTTCAGAGTTTTGAATCAGTAAAGCAGTCTTCAAACACAGGTCTGAAAAATGGGTGGTAAATCCTGTTTCCAAAGCTTTGAAAACACATTATGTGAGGAAGCATAACTCAAATATATCTCATTATTCAAATTTTACTAAAGGAATGACACACAGATCATCTCAAACAGTGCATTATCAGGAAATGTTGTTGTTGCTGTTGTTATGTGCCATCAAGTTGTCTCCAACTCATAGCGGCCCCTCCTTGGGTTGCCGAGGTGGTATCACTACAGAAGTAGATTGCCCAACCTTCCTTCTGAGGAGTGTCTGGTGGGTTTGAACCACCAGACTTGTGGTTAGCAGTCAAGTGCTTTATGCACTATGCCAATAGATCTTTCTAAAATGAGAGATATTTTCCAGTATACGTTTCTACTTACTATGTATATGGTTTAAGAAAAAATAAATACTACACAGGGCACTAGTACTTCAATCCATTGGTTTTGCTACATTGCTACTCTGATGTTCAATACTTATTATACAATCAAGAACTTTAAATTACCTGAAGATTCTCATCCTCCCGGATCAGCTGCTTCCTGGGAAAGATCTGATTGGCCTGGATGCATTCAAGGCTGTGTCCAGTCTCTTCATCCTGAAAAAGCCAAAACCTTCCAATAATTTCAAAGCTCCTACTCATCCATATTTAGTTTTCTGTCATGTCTATCAGCATAACCACAATGAGATACCAGTGACCGAGGTGAACAGAAAGAAAAGCTCAAGGAAAAACCATTCATTCCCCCAACTGTTCTATCCAATAGTATCAGGCATCTTAATCAGAGAACAGGCCCTGGGTGCTGAGGACAGTTAACTCTCAGCTGTTACCCAAAGGACTGGAGATTTGAATCCACCCAGAAGCACTGGAAAAGAAAGGTCTGGAAACTGACTCTGAAAAATTAGCCACTGAAAATGCTACAGAGCCCAGTTCTGCTCTGACACACATGGGTTACCATGAGTGGAAGTCAACTCGACCGCAAGCGGTTCAGCAGAGAATATACACACGCAAAAAAAATATCAAAGAGGTTAAGAACATTTCTATTAGGCACTAACAGGCTATCAGTACATTTCTTCTAAGAGAACCAAAACATAGTATTTTTTCCTCTTTTCAATCTTAAATTCTTATTTTTGAGAAATACAGATCGAATTGTCTAAGAATGAAATGATATGATGCCTGGCATTTCCTTCAAAATAATCAAGGGGAAGCAAGGAGGAAGTGACTAGAGATATAAATAAAACATGATTGTCCATGAGTTGATAACTGATGAAACTGGGTGAGTATGTGGGAGTTCATTATACCATTATGTCTACTTTGATGTAAAATTTCCATAAGAGGAAACTTTTCGCAAGTTTTTAAGGAAATGTAATCTTAAGAATTTCTCACTGTGAAAACATGTGTGAACCACTATTTCTAGTTTAACCTGCCTTATATTACAAATGATCTACTTTGAGTTAAAGCAATTTCAAAAGAGGAAAAAATAAATTCCAAGTGGCCATGTAAGATGCAGCTAATGGTCTCCCAGTGTTGGAAATAAAGAATGCAAAAAAAAAACAAGGACATTTGGAAGCAATCAGCCCTAGGACACAATGGCCTTGAGACCAGAAGAACTAGATGGTGCCTGGTTATTAATGCCAATCACTCGGGAAAGGATCAAATCTGGAGATCCGGATAGAGTGGGAGGAAAAACGTGGAACAAAATCCAAAAACTCAATAATGACCAGAATTACTAGTCAGATGGAGTCTGATGAGACTCCAATACTATGGCCCTGGAATACATTCTGCACCTGGAATAAAACTCATTCCCAGGGGCTGGCTCTCAGCCCAAGATGACACACCCACATACTCTACAGTAATACATCCCTTAGAGCAATAGACCATGGGACACCAGAGAGACAACATTCAAATTGAGGAAATCCAGGACAAACAGAATTGCATAAATATGAGGGGCGCAGGGGAAGGGTTACAGGGTAAGGAGGGGAAAAGACTGGGTTAGGGTTGGGCAGAGTAAATGAGGAATGAAACTAAATGTACACATAACATTGAATGTAAAACAAGCTCTTAAAATATATATATATATATATATATATATAT